GATGTTGTTATAGGACATACCCAAACTAGGATGATTGGAAGGAAGTGTTTTTTGTTTGATAGCAAGTGATTTTTCATAATATGTAAGTGCTTCTGGATATTCTCCTTGATTACGTCTGATCATACCTAGTTGATGATAAATAGGTGCTTTGCCGCTCTCATCCGTTGTTTGATGGAGTAAAACTTCATAAACTTCTTGAGCCTTGTTAAACTCACCCATTTTAATTAGCAACTGACCTAATCTATACCATCCTTCCGAATCTGGAAAGGTCTCTTGTCGTATACGATCAGTAAGAGTACGAAGATCTTGATCATTGTCATTGGTCAATGTTAAATTTACTTTATAGAGATGATTATTTCCATCTATTGTTTTAATATCTCCAATACGAAAAATAGTATGCATAGAGAAGAGAACTTCATCTTCTGTATGAAAATAACTAACATCGCTAACGGAAGCAAATGGACTTGCTGAATGAATAGGATTAATTGACATAACAAATAGTATTCCAACAAGATCTGGATTTGTAGCAGCTTGTTGTGCAAAATTAAGAGAAACATCACGATTTTTACTAGTTGATAAGAAGTTATTAAATGAAAGAAGTCCACCTTTTGTTTTTGTCATTTCGGTGAAATCTTCTTTTGAAAGACCTTGGCCACGATAAACTGTAAATGTTGTACCTGATTGATGACCATCGAATTGTTCGGAATGTAGTCGTTGAATATCACGATGTAGATCACTAATAAAGAAACCCATTCGAACAATAATATCAGCATCCATTTGTCTTAATGCTTGATTGAGCATGCGATATAAAAATGCATCCCATGTATACCACCATATGGGTATGTTGTTTTTGTATGTTGTTTGTAACTGATTAACATTTTTTAATTCATGTTCGTCATCATCATATACTTCACAACAATAACTAATAAATTCTTTTATATGTTTGTCTTCGAAGTTGATGGTTAATAAGATCTCTTTCAAGATCTGACTGTACATAAATGATGGATCTAATTGATCCAATTTCTTGTTTGATGCCACAAAACTAATCGAAATCGCATTTTGTTCACATTGTTGAGCAGATTGCTTGAGAGCTTCACAGATTGATGTTATATCTGTGAAGACTCCTTTTATTTTAGGCCATTCTTTGGCCCATTGTTTATGCCATTGTTGATTGTTACAAAAAATAAAAATGGTGTCTACTTGGAACATATCATGCACATGAGGCACAATATGTTTCCCAAGTGAACCAGAAACAATCATACATACTTTGTTGTTGTTAATGGTTTGAATAAATTCAACACACTGGTCACCATTAGTAAACGTGTTTATGTTGTTAACCACACGTTTTAATTGTTTGATTGTATTACTACAATCAGTATTACTTTCATTAATATTGTTATCCAGCCAAATGAGGAGGACATTTTGCATTCTCTGCATGTTCATGCGTCGATTTGCAGTTGCTCTCGTGAAGACACCAGATGCTGGGTAAATTGTTTTTGTGCCACTTGGTTTGCTAGTCGCCATTGACTGTGATTATTTGTTATTTCTAATAATAATGTGCCGTATTTCAATAGTTTGACAAAATTTGTGAATGGAAGAATTATAAATGGATCTCATTTTATAGTGTTTCTACTTCCCACCGAGATTTGTTTTTCTATTTTTTTCAATCGCACAACAACGCCTTTTTCAGTAACTATTGTAGATGTTGTTATGAAAAACAAACGAACATAAACACAAACATTCCTTAGTAATAAGCAGAGAACGAAAAAGAAATGGTTGAGTATTTCTACGATTGCCAGTCACTAAAATAATCCGCGAAAAGAAATGTTACTATGTGTTTTAATGAAGCAAAATAGAAGAATCTCCAAGAATTTTTTTTCTTTCTGTTCTGATGTTTGATGTCGTTAAAGGCTCAAACGTTGGAAATCATTATTTTGTGAACGACATTATAATTTTGAAAAATCAAAAAGATAATGCTATTCATACACAAAACATTTATATTATTTTATTCTATATTAAAATATAGTCTACGGTCTTTTTTATTTCAAACTGAATTTTGACCAAAAAAATGACTCTTTTCTATGGAACTCGTGAATTGTGCAGATATTCACAAAACGCGTCACTTCGTCCATAGTAACGACATAAAAATCTTTAGTTATTCAACACAGAACTCCCCATTATGTCATAACACGTCTCAGCATTTATATTATCAAATACATAGTATATAGCCTCCATTCTTATATAATAGGTGTAGATGGATGAGTGAGGGTGTTGGCATGAGTAACAACCTGTTCCTTATGAACATCTGCAGTCACACCCACACCCGACAACCTCACGATCATGATCATGATCAGTATTTTTGAATGGTTTGCATCAATTATTAAAATAAATCATGACTTAGTTTTAGAAAATAAAATAAAAATTATGTTACAAAACATTAAACAGTGGAATGAATTCATAAAATATATTCACACGCTGTTCGTTAGTTGCAAAATTTATTTCCCTGAACACATCTGAAATTCAAGGATTAGGGTGTAGGTGTATCATATATATTCTTATTACTGACTTCCACCCACACACCGCTCCCGGTAAATATAAATGCTTTGCCTCGCATCGCATTAAATATAAACGATAAGTAATATGTATTCATCACAGAAACTAAAGATAAAATGCAATTTTAAAGTCTATTTTTATAAACCATTATTTTACATTTTGCATATTCGAATAATCATTAACAGAAAATACATTATGACTGAATGTAAAAAATATGAGCACATGCTATATACAATTCATTTCAATTGCTTATTATTACTTAGAAAAAACAAATTCACTTTGTCGCATAGCATCGATAAACTGCGCCCTCTTCAACAGATTTAATTCATTTGTGTTTTATATAACAGTTATCTTCTTCAGTAATAATACCACAAGAAAAAACAACAACATATTATTTCGAAAGTTATGTTGCGTAATTACCTGACTCTGTTTTTCTCTCGTTTATATATAAGTAGATAAATTATTTTTTAACGTGAAAACATGACATCATCTTTTTTGGTATCACCCTCAACACCAACAGGAAACAATCGTCGTATTGAACTTGCTGGTATGGATCTATGGCTAATGGCACGTATTGATAATGTATTTGTTTATCCATCTGAAATAAAAATTGATCAACTTAAAGAAGCACTTAGTCAAACTCTTTCTTTATGGCCACTTGTTGCTGGTCGTACTATATTAGAGAATGATCAACATTATATTATTGAAATGTGTGATAATCCTATTCCAATAACATTAATAATTAATAATGATTTAAAAGAATCGCCTTTCGATTCAAATGTTCTTGTCGAAGCCAATGACAAATCATTTCCAACATTTATCGATGAAGTTCAAGTAATGAAATTATTTAAAAATTCATCGGATGATGAACCACTTGTTCGTTTAAAATTAACTCATATCGTACAAAGTGATGAATGGGTATTAGGTATTAGTTGGTATCATGCACTAGGTGATGCTGCTCCATGTTTACATTTCTCTAATACATTATCACGTTTTTATCAAGGAATGGAACCTACACCACCATTACCCATATTTGAAAGACGTCTATGGCGAGAGGATGAAGCTAAACAACCAGTTTTACCCATACCAATACAATTTCAAAATCCTCAATCTATAGAAAAAGCTATAAAATTATTTGGTGAACATCAATCAAATTATGATACATTAGACTTACATTTTTCTGGTGAACAACTTGCTACATTACGAAAGTTAGCCGGTGGAAATCATGTAACAACTCATGATGCACTTGCAGCATATATTATATTGACACTTAATACATATTGTTATAAAAATAATGATGAACGTCGTATTTTACATGCAATTACAGTTGTTAATTGTCATGGTGTTTCGGATTGTATTGCTCCACAAAGTGAAGTTTCCAATGCTCTATTCATGATGTTATCCGAAAATTTCGATGATCCATATTCATTATCAAAGATTGCAATGACCATACGTCGATCCATTAATCAAGCACGTGATCCGAAAGTTCTTGAATCTGAAATAGCAATTATTGATGGATTCATGAGAAAGAATGCTAAAGATAATACAACGCCAAATTCAGAACTTGTACCAAATGAATTTGCTATAAATTCAAATTATAGATATGATTGGGCAAATTTAGTTGATTTTGGTTTTACAGATAAATGTCGATTTTATATATCTTGGATAGGTGCATTATATCTACGTGTATTTCGTTTGAATCCAGAAAAATCTGGAAATCAATGGTTACCAAGAGATCGAAATGGAGCTGAAATAGCATTTCGAATGGAAAAAGATTTGAAAGAAAAGTTTATTGACGCATGGAAACGAGACATTGCGGAAAATTTTGAAAACATAAAGAAATGAAATTTTTTTTTAATTTGATTAAAATAGAGAATGTTTAACTATAGAACACTTTCATTGTTCATATAAGTAAGCAGTTCGTTTTGTTCAGTAAACACTTCTTCTGATGTGTCGTATTCTGTAATAAGACCATCATTCATAACAACAATTTTATCACTATTCATTATTGTATTCAGACGATGTGCAATTATTATCACAGTTTGATTGATAAATTTTTCATGCAAAATTTTTTGAATTATTTCATCCGTTTTTGTATCAACATGTGCTGTTCCTTCATCGATTAGTAAAATTTTACATTGTTTTTTTAGAATTGCTCTTGCTACACATATTAATTGACATTCACCTACACTAAAATTACTTCCGTATTCTGCGACTTGTGTATTTAATTTATCTTGCAATTTGTCAATTGTTGATTTCAATTGAACAGATTCTAATGCATCCCATATTTGTTCATCAGTACAATGTTTGAATGGATCTAAATTATATCGAAGTGTATTACTGAATAATACTGGAGATTGTGGAATAATATTTAAAACTGATCGTAAATCGTTCAGACTAAGTGTATTAATATCAATTCCATCAATTAAAATTTGACCACTGGTTGTTGATTTATCAGTTAATCGAAATAACGCTTGAAAAATCGATGATTTACCAGCACCTGTACGTCCGATGATACCAATTTTATTCCTTGGAGCAATTTCTAAATTTATTGTTTTCAATGCAGGTTCAAGTTCTGAACGATAGCTTAATTTGTAATTTTTAAATTCAATTCTTCCTTCAATTGGCCAATTAGGTGGTGGTTTAGATTCTCCTTTGTAAAAATCTGATTCAGAAGGAATATGAGAATATTCATCGATTCTTTCAGCACTAGTCATATAATTTTCAGTATCAGCCGATTGACGTACTGTCCATTGAAAGAGACTAGTTAAACTTATACAATATGAAAGACCTAATGCAACCGATGACGCATCTAAACTATTACGTAATGTAATAGATAAAATTCCGGTTATAAATGTAAAACAACATGTCATCAAATCTAATCTTAAACCAAGCCATTTTCCAGAACAAATAAATATAAAAGATGCACGTGTATGAGTATTAACTTTATCAATAAATAGATCTACAAAATGATTCTCCATATTAAATGCTCTAATAGTCATTAATCCATTTAATGATGAAGAAAATAATGCATAAACAGAACTTGTAGTTGTACTTTCTAATCGTTTAAGATTTCTACTTGATTTTAAATAATATCTTCTTAACCATAGAAAAAGTGGAATCGTAGGTATTAATATTAATAATACCCATGGAATTGACATACCCACAATAACAATACAACCTAATACCATCAATGATGATTGAACAGTATCAAAAAATGTTGTTGGTAATAATTCATCAATAACATGTTGATCTTTTCCAAATCTATTTAATATACGACCAACTGGATTACTTTCATAAAATCTCAATGAACTATATAGAATACCTTTAAACATCGTATTATGTAATGCAGATGCACCACATAAAATTAAGCGTAAGAAAAAATCAGCACGAATCATGGCAATTATCCATGTACTTATAACTAATCCCAAGTATATATATGAATAATTTGCTTTACGTTGTTCGATTTCTGATTTTGACGACCATAAACTTAACCATACATTCGCAGCATTAGAAGCAACTTCACCTAAAAACATTACAAATATCAATACTATCAATCCGATCCAACCATAATCAGATGTGAATAGTTTCAACCAAATATTAATATTAACTGCTCCATGAACAGATATTTCATTTTTAACAATACTAAATTCATCAATAGTCTCCGATTGATCAGTAACATCACAATCATAAACATCACTATCACGTCGTCTATTAGTTTCAGTTGTAATATTTGTATTATATTCTTGTTTTTCATAGGCTGTTTTTATTCTATCTATTGATAATAATTCATTAAACGATCCTTGTTTTTCTATTTTACCATGATCTAATAAAACACAATAATCAAATTCGGGTAAAAATTGTAGTTGATGTGTAACGAGTAATCGAGTTTTATTTTTTAAAATACCATTATTACTAATACATTGTTCGAAAATCTTTCTAGCCACAGACGAATCAACTGCTGCTAATGGATCATCAAATAAATAAATATCAGCTTCAGTATATAAAGCTCGAGCAAGTGATATACGAGCTTTTTGTCCTCCACTTAAATTAACTCCTTTTTCGCTGAGTACTGTTGCATCACCTGCTGAAAATGATCGTAAATCAGCAAATAAACGACATGATCTTAATACACGTTCATATTTTTCTTTATCAAAAGGTTTACAAAACACGATATTTTCACGTATTGTACCAGCAAATATCCATCCTGTTTGAGATACATATGCAATTTTACCATATACCTTACTCGTACCTTCAATAAGAGACATTTCACCAAGTATAGCAGCGAAAAGAGATGATTTACAGGAGCCCGTTGTTCCTATGATTCCAACTAACGAGCCAGGATTCACATTTAAATCAATATCTTTTAATTCAATCGTATGAGTTGAACCCCATGTGAACGATGCTCTATCTATGACTATACTGCCTAATATAGGGTTAACATTACCGCTAGAACACTCATGTAATGTCTTAGTACGAACAGTCTGTTTAGATAAATTCATAAAAGAATTAATACGTTTCGAAGCGATTCTACTTTCACTTAAAACCTCGATAGTATATGGTAAGGCAATTGTTAATGGATATCGTAAGTTACTAAACAATGATAAAATCATGAATATATCTGTCGAAGATAACACTTGACCCATTAACCAACTTCCACCAAATGTAGCTAATGAAATTATTGATAATGATGCAAACGAAATGCCCATATTAATTGCTCGAATTCGACTTGCTTTTTGAATACTATTCAATTCATTTTTTCTTGCATCATAAACAATAGCTTCCAACGCTTCTTCCCATCTATACATTTTAACAATTTGACAACCAACTAGTATTTCATTGATAGTTTTTACACGTTTATCAGACCATTCTATGGTATTGTTTCTATATGTTCCAAATTGTTTACTAAAAAATAGTTGCAATGGTACTAAGAGTAACAATACACCATAACCAAATATAGTTGGAATACCAATTTGTTTCCAAATTAAGACAAAGACAATGATAGCTTCGAAAGGTGCTGCCCACAACTGATGAATATATGCACTTAAATTTGCTAATTTACTTAAATCATTAGATATTAAATTTACTAGATGACCAGTTGTTGTTTTCATAGTTGAACTTGTTGGTAATGATAATAATCTTTTATAAATAAAAGATGTAAATGCAATACGTACATGCATTCCAAGTCGTGTTGAACGAAAAAAATATTGATGATGAATGCATGCTTGTAAAACAGTCGCAACTCCTAATCCAATAGCATATAAATAACCTTCATATGAAGCTATATTAGAATCATGAATAGTAAGAACAATTTGTTTTAAGAGTAATGGTTGAGCTATTTTAACGGCAATGTATGGAAATAGAATCAGACCAACTAAGAAGCATTCTTTTGAAAATACTTTTACAATTATCTTGAATGTACCCATAGATTCATGTTTTTCCAACGCTGTCTCAAGTTTCTTTAAAAATAGTCCACATTCATCATTTGATGATACATCATATAGATCATCAATAGTTAATTCACGTTTATAACCAATATTCAAAATTGGATTTAACCATGACCAAAGTATAACATAAATCCATCGTATCCAAGATGATTCAGCCCAGTCTAAAGCACAAGGCTTTCGATTATCAGAAAGTATCGGAATAGAAGTTTCTTTGGTATGTGTTGATGCAGCTGTCGCCGTATTAATATTATCAGTCATAATCCTTAGTTATGCAAGCAAATATAAATAGTATCTAGAATAGAAAATAGAAGATTACGTTTTTATCTGTTATTATAAGGTTTAATATTTTGATTACAAATGAACTTCAGAGTTTCTTTTTTTATCAATATAATTATCAAACAAGGTAAAGCTTACTTGATATTCAAATCGTCAATATATAATATAATTGGATTTGAACAGATGCACGGCTATAGCTTATATGAAGAAATATAGTTTGACTCATCGTCGAACCATATCACTATTATTAGCAAAAACATAAATGTCGAATCTTGCTTAGATCATGATATTGATTGTCAGATGATTTAAAAATGTACTCACTATAAATATATTGATGACACATACGACAATTTATTGTTTTCTGTTCTTGGTGTGAAATTATCTGTAAAATGACGTAATTTTTATTAATACTAAAGTTTTTAATATGTCCGACGCAATAGCAGACAGATGAGTTTTATACATTTATGATCTTCCGTTTATTGTATTTTTATAACTTTTCGTCTTCATCTCTTATTCAATCAATAATCCTCATAAAATTGCTGATTTTTTTCAAAGGCAAATATTCAATAACTGCACCGAGTAGGGGATGTTGTATAACTATTGCCTTTATTACTTTTCTTCATTTTAATCAGAATTGTTAAACGAAAATAAGAGGATTTGGGTTAAGATCTTTGAAGTCTATTATTTTGTCTATTCATGGTCTTCATTTCTTCGAAAAACATACAAAGATCCCTATGGATTATATACGTGACGGATCCTGTCAAGAGTAGCTCCAAGATTCATGCAAGAACTTATTTTAGATTTTAGTGAGGATCCTAATAAAAATTACTAATACGATTTGATTAAGATTTCCGTAAGTTTTACCTAAGATATGCTCCAGAATCTGCTGCGCAAATTCTGCCAAAAATTGTAGTTATATCAGTGTGGGATCTCTTTAAATACAAACCCTGCAAATTTCGAGAATATTATATAAGAATAATCAAGATCTCAATGAGAAAATACAAGGATCTAGATAGGACTTTTGCAGGTTCCTATATCGAATGTATTAAAATTTTGGTTTTCAAGATCCCAGATCGAATATACTCTGTTGCTAACGATCATGAACGAATTTTTAGTACTTATATTTTCAGTATCATTATCCTGTATTATTATCTTATTTTATCTTATTGCGTTTTATTTTATTGAATTATATGATTCTATTTTTGTTTTATTTTATTGCAGCTTATTTTATTACTTCATTCAATTTTATCTTATTGCATTTTATTTTATTGTATTATATGATTCTATTTTATTTTATTTTTGATCATCTAAAGTATGTGTTTCGATAGCGCAGAACGTGGAAATACATATCTCGTGCCGAGTTAGCACTGCTACCTGTATGACTTGATTAAAATAAAATGGCTAGGCATTAAAACAATTCATAAACAGTTCAATCGTATTTCACATTTGAATACCATAGAGGTCGTGTTAACACTTTTATTAATCTGTCTATATTAAATTCAATAAATAAGACATAGAATAAAAAAAGCAAAAACAGTTAGAAATCAATTTTTGCACACATATGAAAGAGAATGACATTGAGGCTCATTCGATATGAAAAACAAATCTTTATTTCTTTCAGTTCTGTCTAAATTTTATTGTCAGAATCAGCTTCGGTTTGAACTGCATCAACATCTTCTTCCTCTTCTTCTTCTCCATCTTGAAACGATCGATCACGTGTCTCTGGCAAAGTAGTAATTACAGCAGCTAATGCTAATGTTAGACCAGAATAGACATAATGTGTAATATGCTGATACTTTTCACCAACTGCAGCATCAACAATAGGTGCTATCATTGATCCAAAACTACCAACAAACACAAATATACCATTGGCTAAACCTCTCATATACGTAGGAAAAAGTTCAGGAACATATAGCCATGAAACTGATACAGCAGCACTCACTCCAAATTTACCTACTTGCGAAATAATGATAGATACAACTGGATAAGATTCCATTAAGAATGGAACTGCGAGTACTGCACTCGCTGTTAATAATACAAACATGATCAATGAAAATTTTCTTCCAAGCATTGTAGTCATTACAATACCAGCCGTTAAGTAACCAAGCCCTTCAACACCAGCTCCAATAATAAAATTCACATAAGGACTTAAAGTATCACTCGTCGCACCAAGTCCATAAGAAATTTTCGTATATAGTAACATAGTAACAAATTCAATACTGCCACACATCAATAGTCTAGGTAAGAATTGTAAAACTCTGGCTCTTTTCTTTTTCTTTATCTTGGTTTCAGTTCTTTCAACAATGCGAGATTCTTCAACTAATTCTTTATAATATGGTAACCATTCACTTTCTTCACGACGATTGGTTTTCGCAATTCTTCGTAAACAAACTTCAAGTTCATCGTATTTCTTTCGACTAAATAACCAATAAGGCGATTCTGGAATAAAATAAAGATAAGGAATAGTAACAGCATAATATACACTCATCAACCATTTTAGATTAAGCCAATTTCGTGCTAAACGAGCAAAACCAGTAAATAAAATTTCTCCTAATGTATATGCAATCAAAGATACACCGGCAGCGAAACTTGTATGTGTAGATGATGTTAATTCCATCATAAGAAGAAATACAATTCCATAAGGATCTATACCAGATACAAGTTGATTGATAATCAGAAGAATAAATCTAAAACAAAATCAATATATATTCTATCGTAGTATTATGTATTTCTATGTTCACGGATATACTTAGTATTTACACCCATGCTGACAAATTGAAGAAGCGTTTGAGTAATACCAGTAACTACATAAAGTCCTAAACTCAAACCTATTAGAAGTTTTCGTCGTCCAATTCGATCACAAGCTGGTCCAGTAATCAATACCGTAAATCTACATGAAATAACATTCAAAAATTCATTGATTTAAGAATATTTATTTCTTACGTTCCTATCTCGTAGACGGTTGAAATCCATGTTTTCTTTATTGCATTGCCACATACAAATCCTGCCTCTTCGGTGAATGTTCTTCCAAAAACAGTTTGATCAAAAACAAAATTATTACATTGAGATCCGTTAGCATACTGACATTTGGACGAAGACGTTAGCTGTGTATCAAGATAATATTGATGTGTGGAATTGGCTGACAGATATTGATTATCATCAGGCCATATATCCGATGGTAATCGACAACGAAAAAGTGGTTCAGCAAGACCGAAAACATAGTAAAATCCAGTCATACCACTGCTCAAATTGAGCAGACATAGTAAGGATAAATGAATCCATTGAAATGTAGAAAAATCGCCACAACGTCGTATTACATTTTCTATCGATACTTCATCCATTACTGTAATGTTATTTCTTTGATCGTTGTGTTTTAAATGCGAAAAGATTAGTACATGTACTTTCTTTTATCGTACTATTTTTTTAACCTTATTTTCGTTCTAAATTATCAAATCAGATTATATTTAAGCTTTCATTCAAACTACACGTACACTATACATAAATCGTATATTCTATTGTTAAAGATTAGTACAGTTATTTAAAGGTCTCAATATTCTCTTTTCTTTGTTAATTTGCATTTTTTTTCATATTATTTTCAAATTATATTTGCTCACTACTTTACTTCATCGATTAATGCAATAGTTTGAAAAAGACAAGTTCTTTTATTCTTTGAAAAGATGCGCATCGCATTAGTATTATTTGACGTCATACGAATAATATCTAGATAATAATAGGCAAGTGTAAATGTGAGACATAGAAGACCAAGGTATCATATTTGTTTGTCACTAGCGAAGCTTAAATGTACGACAGTTACATATATTGAAGATTTACATCTTAAGAACAGGAATGAAGGTCATCAAAATAATGGTATATAAGATCAGATACTCATCGTATAAGAATTATCTTATTCAACTTCTATTGCACATGCTTATTATTAAGATTTGAAAAACTATAATCGAGGGATTTACCGGAACAAAATTCATTCAGAAAACTAATAGATTCTATAATCTTAACTATGACTTGTATGTAGAAATCATCAATAACTGGCATGTTTGCCAATCAATATTAATCGGAAATGCTTTGAGACAAAATAAACAGTTATTCATTCGTAAACTACATAAAGTGGCTAAAGGTCGAACGGAAAATGTCGGAAGTAAAAGTGTCGAAAGTCATAAATGTACAAAAACAATAATATCACATATTTACTCATCAGTTTTATTCATAAGAATCTAAGCAAAGAAAAGTACAAGTTAAAGACAAGACGAATGTGGATATTCTTCTCATTTAACACCCACACCCACACCCTAACACCCTCAAGATGAACAGAATATCGTCAGTTGATAGAAGTTTGTTCCACGATATTACTAACATTTCTTCTTTCGATATTTTTTTCCACAATCTGCTTTTCTACATTCTCGTATTCGACATTTCGTCTTTCAACGTTTTGCCACCAAACCTTATTTTAACATAGTTTATCTTGTTGATTTAATATTTATTCGATAAGTTAAGAAAATGTTCTTCATGAATACTTCAAGAGTCTATTTGTTAAAGCATATGTTGATAAAATATAAAATCTTCTATTTTCTATTTACTAAGGAATTCTTTATTGGATTTATTTGATACAGTTAATATAGAATAAATCATAGCAATAAAGGATAAATGTAATTTTAATTAGTCTATTTATTAAGTCCGGCCGACTTGATTTCTGTATTGTTAACAACGAAAAGCCAATCGGTGGTAGGAGTTTTCACACCCTCAAAAGGTGCTTTTAATTCCAATTTACTTCCATTGGATCGTGTTACTTCGATTTGTTCAATAACCTCGATGATATTGTGTGTTTCTCGAGTGATAAGTCTTTGAATCATATAACCTCTTTTACCCTTTGCAACATCGAGTTCGACACGGGTTTGTTTGGTATCTCCTCGTCTATCTGTAATTCCAGCATATGTGAACACGATATGAATATCACCATCTGTATCATTTTGAATAGCACCCGCATATACTTTACGATTATAATTTCTATCACTTGCCATATTTATGTTGATGCGCGTTTATGATCACCTTTGATTATAATCTTTAGTGATGCGTAACAACGAAGAAATCAAATGATAATACAAAAGATTTACAATAATTATTAAATATGAGTAGCCAATCGTGAAATTATTTTAAACATGATTTACTAGTGGTTATATTTATATGCATAGATTCTAACTAAAAATAATTCAAGTACATCAAACTTGAAAATTGTACGATTTCTACTGATAGTTTGAAAACAGATGTCGTAAGTTCGCAAATATCAGATACCTAGAAATATATATATTAGTATAATTTTTAATTCATGTAAAGAGCTACAAAAGTCATTGATGAACACATTTATAGAGACTTCTACAGAAGAGTAGAATATGACGTTCATCATTATTATAGAAATAGCTACTTTCAAATTCGATGTCAGCAGCGAGATTATTCAGTTGTTTATTGACTTGTTATTTTAGTGCAGTCTGCGACTGAGGATAGAAGTAAAAAATAAGTTTAATTTGAGATAGGATTTTATAAAGTCGATACAAGAGTTCATAATAACATGATTTATCACATCACGAAAGAGTTATCTGTGTAATAAAAAGCCGATATTACCGTGGCTGAGAAGAAATATTGCATAATCTCCGTGATCACTTATAGTATATCTGCCAACTATATATATAGTATAGTTCTTAAGTGTTCAGACAATCTTTAAAAAATATTTCAATACCTTACATTTAAATATTTTCGTTAGAATATGTTTTATTCGAAGAATATTAATTTTTTACTAGTCAATCAAGCTCGAATATTGAAAAAACTTATTAATACAAAAAAAAAGTTAACAAAATGTAAGAGTAATAACAAAGAAAAAAATTTGATCAGTAGTTTTTGATTTAAGATCATATAATAGCGTTCGAATTCTAAGTTTTAGTTATGGGTACAGGAATACTTTGTAAGCTTGAATAAATTCCTTGATTTTGAAAGATTCCATTCGCAATTTGTTGAAACACAGCCATTATCTCGGTCTGATGTGCATTTATATATTTTATTCGTTTGGATGTTGGTACCATTACGAGAATCTTCATCATAAACCATAATAAACGCCAATTACGAAGTGATATGTGTTTGTATTTACGCATGCACTGACCTACGAAAGCCTGTGCCATCACTACTGAATCGCCTTCAGCTAAACAATTCGCATAACAACCAGCATGACTTTCTGCCATACGAGTGTGCGCTAATAATGATTCTGCACCATATAATTCACGACATTTAGCTACAATGTCTCGACATAAAGGTGGTATATAAGCTTTAATCAAGAGAATCTCATCGATGTTCTTTTCCAAGAGTTCTTCAATATTAGTAACGGTAACCGTAGACGAATCGATTTGAAAACGTTTAATTAACCGACGAAAGTAGCAGTCCATTTCACAAATTTGTTGTAGCATGACTTGTATATGATCGGTAATGTAAGAGAATTGCGACCGTTTACTATTATAAACTTTTTTGATAACAAGCTGTAGTGCCGATTTAGCACATACGATTGCAGTACCTGATAAACATAGTCGACCTACTAACAATCTATTGGCCAATTTGAAGAACAGTTTTGGACAGTTATCCGGTACCTGTAGAGCTCCCGTTGTTGTATCCAACGAACAATATCGATCAAGTAAATTTTCCGGTGCAGTATGGAAGTCGGTAAAGGTAAGACCACCGAAACAATTTGAACGAAAATCGGAACGAGTATTACATTCTTCGATTGATATACCGGGTAGAATGACACCATTACTGCGGATTTGTACCACAATAGCTACGACATGAGGTGTTATAAATAATTTACCAATATTAGTGTTCACGGAAATTTCCTTGCTGCTGTTCATAATAGTAGCTTGGCACCATTTTGCAAATACTACGGCATATTCAATCTGACTATTACCAGCATACGAAATCCAACATTTTTTAGCATCTTCAGTTGGTGTATGAATGACAATTTTCTTTGCTTCTGGATTGTAATATGCGATGGTATCACATAATAAACCTGATAATACTCCAGCACCTTTTTCCGTTAGTGCGAAACAACCAAGTTTTTTTAATTCACGTGCATCTTGTGCTAGTGCTGCATGTGTAGCAGTACCTAGTGCCGTTATAGAGCCTGTAAATAAATTGAATTGTACAGTAAACCAATTCACTACATCACTACTATTTGTGTAAGCCAAACGTTCATGAATGACTATAAGATTATAAGGATCTAATGATGCTAATGCTTGTTGTGAATGTAATGTAGCTACTACCGTTCGTAATTGTTGAAGAACTGTAGGAACATCGCTAGCATATACATAACCACCATCATTGTTGCCTCGTTCTTGTGGTTTAGTGTAGAAATCGGTAGGTAACAGAGAAGTATAGACGTCGGACAATGAATCCAATGGACAAATATAATGACGTTTCGAACGATTGAATTGTAGAAAAGTAGTAATAGCGAAATAAAGAACGAGTGGTAGTATTAGAAAAAGAAGAAGTTGAATGAAAAAATCCATAACGACAGTTGCAAAATATCAGTCAACAAATTATCAATATCTATAAAAATAAAAAAATATACTATGAATACGTTCATATTAAAAAAGAAGTTGATTTGCAAAATATTTCCAAACTATTGCCTCTTTAAAAACAAAATAGTTGAGAACAGCAAATACAAGACAGTAGCTAAATCTTCGACGCAATGAGTTTATCTAATTTCTATACTTTCTTGCTTCTATGATAGGAAGATATCTATAAATTTGTTTAGAAACAAGTCTTCGAATCAATCTCTTCGTAGCAAACTTGGAGTAACTTGCTCTAGAATGTTGACGATATATTTGAAAAATAACCGAAGAACACATCTAAAGGTATATCCATTTCTTTCTTGCCGAAGAAAACTAGTTTACGATCGAACGCACAACTGCTGCTTACTTATGAGTAGATCGCAGCAATTTTAATCGGTTTTCACCTATCATTCCTTCATATATATAGTTCGTTTGAAGTTCACAAAAAAAAATGCAATCGTTAACGATTAGATAGCTGTTTCGTCGATTATTTTTTACACTAAGATTTGTGATATACTAAGGTAAGATGAGAGAATAAAATACCAACTTTTACTCGAAAAAATGTTTTAAATTCTTCACATATGAAATAATGAAAATTAATTAGATCTTTTATTAAACTAATCAATTGTTTTGATGACATTATCATTCATTTGAAGTGTATATAGCTGACTTATCTTACTCTTATATCTAATAACTTCAAAAAACCAAAGATATATCATTATCTAATCTACTACATGTGTAGAAAAAGAATATATTTTACGTCATACTTCGAGATTGGATCAATGACCTATTTTGTAAAAGATATGACAATGATTATATTAAAGAAAAGAATATATCTAGGAAACGAATACATTTATACCTGACACTTCTTATCCAATGAAAAATTTCTATAGTTGCCTTTAATAACATTCAAAAGATGTCATACTATTCAATATATTAAATTTCAATTCATATCGATCAATATCGATGCTCAGATCAATACTGCTATCTATACAGCTAATATATTAGTGAGCAGAAACTCCATATTCATAAATTTTATTTTATTTTAACACTTTGTCAATCCATGGAGTTTCTGAAGTAGAAAAGATTCATAAGAATCCATTGCATGTAAATAAAGAGAACGAAAAATTGAGAATAAAGAAACAAGCCGTTTCAGTTATGACCTTATGCAAGCTATCACGTATGTTATGTTTATATTATTTGTTAGAATGTAGTTGAAAGATACACAGCTGATGTCAGTACGCTTATCTTTTCAAATATCCCATTCACTGTCTTCGTGCATTAACTTGAGTTAGTATAATGAGGTAATTGAATCACAATACAACGTCAGTGATAGTCATAAAAAAACCAAATAAGAAAAAATGTTTTTGATTGTAATATCATTTCGACTCTTGAATCGATCAAAATAAGGAATGAGAGTGAGTATATTAACAGATTAGTAAAACATACTCGACAATTTCTTTCTTTTCTTCTCTTAAATTGTTCCTAATCATTCTTTAGTTTCCCCATAAAATGCATATGTTATGAATCATCTTTTTCTCCTTTTATTTGATCTATATAAATATTGCGAAAAAAAACGATTATATAGTTTATTACATGGATATTGACTAAAACGTAAGTATATTCGAATAACATTACTCAGTTATATGAAACAAGACGGAGAAAAAGGTTCTTTGGATTACACTTTCTTATTATTAATTCGTACTATTTGCTTCTATCAAAAGCACAAATTATGAATATATATGTCTTAAATTAATTTGTGTATTTTCAGTATTTTAACAATATATTTTATGGAAAATGATATGTTATTTGAGCGTTATTTTTATTTCATTACTATTATTCAACGTTCAATGTGAAGATAAACAGCCGAATTCACAATCATCATCTATTGGAGAAACTTTATTTACTTTTATAGTCATCTTTATTCTGATCTTTTGTTGTCGTAGTTGTTGTAGTTATTGTTGGAATCAACGTAATAAACAAAACAATCCTGTAACTCACACCATCACAGTATCACAACAAGGATCGACAGCACAAGTTGATCATATACCAATGAATTTAATGCTGACACGGGAGAATATAATGAGTCTCAACATACGAGATCTAGATACTTTAAGAGAACACAACTCTCGTACTGGTATAGACACAATAGTAGTAATGCACTTAGAACAACAATTGTCTACTCCACCACCAGCATACGACGAATTGTCACTACATGACTCAATGGCAATAGAACAACAGTCTTTACTACCACCAACATATGCTAACTTTATCCGAAAAGAACTATTTGACGATTATTACGGATAAAATGTGATTATATTTAAATCCTTTTTATTTTTAAATAAATAATTTTATATCTATCGAATATGTTATAACTATACACACCGACTATATCCGCAGAAATTCAATTGCTTTTTTTCTTTGCTAACTTAGAATGTTTCTTTTACACAGTATTTAGCTATTTTTTACTGTTAAGTGATTCATCTTCAAATTAGAACTCTAGTATTATATATTCTTTTGTTCGATTTATGTCAGATAACATCGGGCTGAATTTAGCAATGATCAGAAAGTGCATATTCGTAAGTTTATATTTTATTGTTTTTACCTAATGATTTCAATTCTCACTGACTACACTATTCTTATTGCAAGATAAAGTTTTTGTTTTATTTTGAGTCTTAATCAATCGATGGAATTATAACAATTCATTGCATATAGATCAAAAGAATGAGAAATCGAGAAAAAAGAAACAAGTCATTTTACGTATGAGTTCATGCAAGCTGTTACGTATGTTATGTTCATATTATTTGTTAGAATGTAACTAAAAGATATATTGCTAATGTCAGTACGCTTATCTTTTCAAATATCCCATTCACTGTCTTCGTGCATTAACTTGAGTTATTATAATGAGGTCATTGAATCATAATACAACGTTAGCGATAGTCATAGAAGAACAAATCAGAGAAAAAGTTTTCGAATGTGATATCATTTCGATTCTTGAATCGATCAAGAGAAAGAATGAGGAGTGAGTATATTAACAGATTAGTAAAACATACTCGACAGCTTCTTTCTTTTCTTCTCTTAAATTATTCCCAATCATTTTTTAGTTTTCCCCATAAAATGCATATGTTATGAATCATCTTTCTTTCCTTTTATTTAATCTACAAAAACTTTGCCATAAAAAGCAAATAGTTTATTACATGGATATTGACTAAAACGTAAGTATATTCGAAGAACATTACTCAGTTATTTGAAACAAGATTGAGGAAAACGTCTTCTTGCATTATAATGTGAGAGATCATACTTACTGATTGATAGATTGTATTATTCGTTTCTATTGAAAAGTAGAAATCATCAATATGTCTTCGTTTAGATTAATATCTGAATTGTTTCTTAAATTAATTTGTGTATTTTTAGTATTTTAACAATATATTTCATGAAAAATGATATGTTATTTGAGTGTTATTTTTATTTCATTACTATTATTCAACGTTCAATGTGAAGATAATCGGTCGAATTCACAATCATCATCATCTACTCCGCATTTTGTTTCATTACTTTATTTATTCATCTTTATTCTGATGTCTTTTTGTTGTTGTTACTATTCTTATTGTTATGACTGGATGCCGTTTAATAAACAATACTATCCTGTAACTGACATCACCACCATCAGAGTACCACGACGAAGATCCATAGCTCAAGCTGATCATATACCAATGAATTTAATGGCGACATGGGAGAATATAGCGACCTTCTACATACGAGATCCAGATACTCAATCAACAAATTCTGAAATTTTAACAGAACATAACTCCCGTACCGGTCTAGATACAATATTAGTAATGTCCTTCGAACAACAACTGTCTACTCCACCACCAGCATACGACGAACTGTCACTACATGACTCAATGGCAATAGAACAACAGTGTTTGTTACCACCAACATATGCTGATTTTATCCAAACTACTAATGAATCAGAACGAACTATTTGACGATTATTACGGATAAAGTTCAATTATACTTGAATACGTTTCATTTTCAAATAAATAATTTAATATCTATCAAATATGTTATCACTATACATGACAACTATATTCGCAGAGATTCAATTGATTTCTTTCTTTGCTAGCTTAGAATGTTTTTTTACAGTGAACAAAGACCAACTAGGATTATATGGAGTATTTATTAATATTTTATAAACTCAATTCACTTCAAAATATCATTTTTACATAATTCAAGTTTTTTTCTATCAATCTCAGTCTATATAAAATATGAAGAATATAATTTGATTTTAATCAGAATGTATATCATCCGCTAATAAAGTAAAATTCGCTTGTAAATTACCAACTGTTATAATAAAAAGACCAGGTTCAGTTTGTCGAGTTAAATTTAGACCAATAAATGATAAATCAGTTCGATTAAGAATAAATTGAATTTGTTGTTGTTCATATGGATCTAAAGATATTTTTGTATAACCTTTTAGTTCTTTATTTGGTGGTGTGATGGATCGATAAATATCGGAAATAAATAAAAGTACTGTATGATCACCTTGTCTTGAACCATTATTGCGTACATTTAAAGTAATATTTATTTGATCATTCCATTTAATTGTTGATGAAACATTAAGATGTGAATAAACAAATGTTGTATAACTTAGACCATGTCCAAATTCGAATTCAACATCAATTGTATTATCAAGTAGAACTTCACACCATTTATAATCATATGTGGATAACCGATGATTATATTTAGGAAATGTTATTCGTAATCGACCAGTTGGATTATATTTACCCATAAGAACATCAACAAGTGCTTAACCACTATCAACAACACAAATAAATAAAATTCATATTTTTTTAAGCTAAAAAAAATCTGTACCTTTCCATACCTGATAAAAACATCATTAATATATCTGATTGCGAGTGCTTCTTGTTGTTATAACCAAACACCGACACCCTAAAAAAAAGAGAACGAAAGATTGAGAATAAAAGAACAAATCATTTTACGTATGAATTTATCCAAGTTATCACGTGCATTATATGTTAAGATTATTTGTTGGAATGTAACTGAAAGACAGACTACTCATATCAATACGCTTATCTTTCCAAATATTCCATTCACTGTCTTCGTGCTTTAACTTGAGTTATTGTAATGAGGTAATTGAATCACAATACAACGTCAGTAATAGTCATAAAAAAAACAAATAAGAAAAAATGTTTTCAATTGTAATATCAATTCGATTCTTGAATAGATCAAGGTAAAGAATGAGAACGATTTTATTAACAGATTAGTAAAACATACTCGACAGTTTCTTTCTTTTCTTCTTTTAAATTATTCCCATTAGTTCTGTAATTTCCCCATAAAATGCACAGATTGTGAGTCATTTTTTTTCTCCTTTTATTTGATCCATGTAACTTTTGCTAAAAAAACAAATAATTTATTACATGGATTTTGGCTAAACGTAAGCATATTCAAATGATATCACTCGATTGTTTGAAATAAGGTTGCGAAAAACGTTCTTTGGATTATAATGTGAGAGATTAAACGTTTTTATTATTAGTTCGTATTAGTTGTTTCTATTGAAAAGTAGAAATTATAAATATATATGTCTTAGTTTCAATTAATGTTTAAATTTTTTCTTGAATTAATTTGTGTATTTTTAGTATTTTAACAATATATTTAATTGAAAATGATATGTTGTTTGAGCGTTATTTTTATTTCATTACTATTACTGATCGTTCAATGTGAAGATTATGAGCGGAAATATTTTAATCGAAACTTCCCGGCAACAACAAATCGACCGGAACCATTGCGGTTACTTAATCAACTCAGAAATTCAGCGGTGATCTTGAACAGATCTATTCAAGCTCATGATGACTATGATCCGTGGAAATATTTTAATCGAAACTTTTGGACAACAACAAATCGACCAAAATTATTTGGGTCACATACATTCAAACATTCAATGTCGAACTGGCAGATACCATCAGATATATTTCTTAATAAGACTGATACAAAATATCCGCCAATCAACTTTAATTATCCTTCTATTTACCAGGACAAGTCATATCAAGAATTAATAAAAAGACTTAACACAAAATCATGTTTGGCAGGTACAGCTAATATTATAAGCAGTTTCATATGTTATACGCTACAATATGAAAAGAATTTCTCTAATACTGTTGTAATTCTAGAAATTCCATGCATTAATTTGTGTAGAAAAAGTGCATGCTGACTATTTTTCAGTAGAGATAACTAATAAAAGTGAGTAAACAGACTTTATTGCGAAGAACATGATCTTCAAAAATTATCTTATAAAAATCTTAAGATTCTGTAAAGTTCTAGATGATACAAATTATATTTCATAGTCTTATCAATTCTGTTAGTCAGTAGTCTATATGTATTTATGTACAAATTTACACGTGAACGAATAATGACTTTAGTTCTGAAGTGATGTTTCTCGTTTTACAAAGTATATAATCATTGTAAATCAAATTTATTTATCAACATGAGAGAATTTATTACTTAAATCGTAGAAAATAATCTGTATATTGATGCTATGCTGATCGCATTTTATGTGAATTTAGTGTTCTGAACATATAAGATCTCTATTGAAGTAACTTTTTAAATAAATTACAATACAACATTTTATTATTCGAACTAGTTTTTCTTGTTAAGTGTAAAGAACTGATAAGAAAAAGAGGTTGTTTATATAATTTTCTTAACATTTTATTCTAGCGCAAAAAACATGCGGTATAAAGCCAGATGAATGGTGCTGCTCTCGTAAGTTAAATAAATTGACTGTTCTTCTGTCTGTTTCTTGTCTTTTTTTACACATATTTCATTTGTTATTAGTTAATTCTCGATGTGGAATCAATCATGATTGCTTTAAATATACAACTACTAATTCACAACCAACATCTACTGGACAAATTAGATTTGTTATATTCATTGTTAGTGTGTTGATTTATTGTTGTTGTCAGATTTTCGTTAAGTCTAAAAAACAATACAATCCTGTAACTGGCATCAGCACCTTCACAGTACCACAACAAAGTTCGATACCTCAAGCTGATCATATACCAATGAATTTCATGGTGACACGGGAGAATATAATGAGTCTCAACCTACGAGATCTAGATACTCAATCAACAAATTCTGAAATTTTAAGAGAACATGACCGCCGTACCGGTCTGGACACAATAATAATAATGTCCTTCGAACAACAACCGTCCACTCCACCACCAGCATATGACGAATTATCACTACATCACTCAATGGCAATAGAACAACAATCTTTACTACCACCAACATATGCTGATTTTATCCAAAGTACTAATGAATCAGAACGAACTATTTGACGATTTTTGCTGGTAAAATGTGATTCTACTTGAATACGTTTCATTTTCAAATAAATAATTTAATATCTATCAAATATGTTATCACTATACATGACAACAATATTCGCAGAGATTCAATTGATTTTCTTTTTGATAACTTAGACTGTTTCCTTTACAGTGAACAAAGACCAACTACGATTATATGGAGTATTTATTAGTATTTTATAAACTCGGTTCACTTCAAAATATGATTTTTATACAATTTAAGTTTTGTTTTTTTCTATCAATCTTAGTCTAAATAAAATATGAAGGATATAATTTGATTCTAATCAGAATGTATATCATCGGCTAATAAAGTAAAATTCGCTTGTAAATTACCAACTGTTGCAACAAAAAGGCCAGGTTCAGTTTGTCGAATTAAATTTAGACCAATAAATGATAAATCACTTCGATTAAGAATAAATTGAATTGGTTGTTGTTCGTAAGAATCTAAAGACACTTTTGTATAACCTTTTAGTTCTTTATTTGGTGGTGTGATGGATCGATAAATATCGGAAATAAATAAAAGTACTGTATGATCACCTTGTCTTGAACCATTATTGCGTACATTTAAAGTAATATTTATTTGATCATTCCATTTAATTGTTGATGAAACATTAAGATGTGAATAAACAAATGTTGTATAACTTAGACCATGTCCAAATTCGAATTCAACATCAATTGTATTATCAAGTAGAACTTCACACCATTTATAATCATATGTGGATAACCGATGATTATATTTCGGATATGTTATTGGTAATCGACCACTTGGATTATACGTACCCATTAGAACATCAACAAGTGCTTGACCACTATTCAAGATAAATAAAGTTCATAATTTTATGAACTAAAAAAAATGTATTCTATATACCCTTCCGTACCCGGTAAAAACATCATTAATATGGCTGATGATAAATCTACAATACGACGAATAAGTCTTGGTCGTCCTTCAGCAAGAGCTACAATAATTGGTACTTGTGTATAGTTTTTAATTATTTCAACTAATTCTAATTGAGCATTATCTAATGTTAAATCATTAATATTTCCTGGTGTTTCTGTATAAGATTGTTCACCAAGACATACTAATATATAACTAGCAGTTCGTGAAGCATTTAATAAATTATCAACATTATATAATTGATCAAAAGATGAAACATTATAATAATCAATTTTTGTTGAACCTAAACGTGTTCGAAATGATTCTAAAATTGTTTTATTTGTTAAATTTTGGGGGAAAATTCCTTGTTCATTTCCTTGCCATGTATATGACCAACCGCCATTTAATGATGTAAGAGTATTTGCTGTTGGACCAGTAATTAATAATTTATTTGTTTCGGTTATTTTATTGATATCAAATGGTAAAATATTTCCATCATTTTTAAGTAAAGTTATTACTTGACGTGCTGCTTGAAGTTGTGTTGCATAATATTCCGGTTTATTGAAATCATTTATTGCTGAACTATTAGGCCATGCAGTTCTTCCATCAAATAAACCTTAATAAAATACAATAGAATAGAATGAAATATCATCTTTTAGTTTTACCTAATGCAAATTTAACACGAAGTATACGACGTACAGCATCATCTAAACGTGTTTGTGTTATTAAACCATCTTTTATACACTCAAGTGTTAAATTATAAAATGAATAATCAAGTGGTACCATGCTCATATCAATTCCAGCTATGATTGCTTGACGAACAGCTTCTTTTTGTGTTTCAGCAACATGATCACGATAATTAAGACGTTTAATATCTTCCTAGAAAAAAAACAAAAATAATATTCATTTAAATATATGACTCAATTATTTTAGCCAAATTTTACCCAATCGGAAACAGTGAATCCTTCAAATTGATATGTTCCTTTCAGAACTTCAGTTAATAAATGATAATTAGCATGACCAGGAATACCATTTACTTCACCGGAAGAAACCATTACTGAAACAGCACCAGCACGAACACTTTCTTCAAATGGTGGTAAAAAATATTCAAGCATATGTCGATCACTAATCCATGCTGGAGTTCGATCTTGACCTGATAATGGCAATCCATAACCAACATAACACTTCAAACAAGCACCTACATGTTCATTTGATGTTAAATTATCACCTTGTAATCCTTCTGTATATGCTCGACCCATATCTTTAACAAGTTTGACATCTTCTCCAAATGTCTCCCATAATCTCGGCCATAATTTTTGACGACTAAAAAAAAATTCATTATAGTAAATCATTATTTATTTTATTTACCCAATATCAACTTGTGGATGAAAAGCCCATGGAATTCCTGCTGCTCTTGTTTGATGTGCAGATATTTTACCAATTTCACGTACTAATGTTGTATTAAATGTTGCTGCAAGACCAGTCGCATGTGGAAATAAAACAGCATTTTGTATATAATTAGCACCATGAATAGAATCAATACCATATAAAACTGGAATACTTAAACGAGTTTTATGTGCTTCGTCTTGAACTTTTCCTATAATATCATGCCATTGATCAAGTGCTAGTGCACCTGTTGGAATAACATTAAAAATAGAACCAACTTTATAATCTTGTATAGCTGTAGTTAATTTTATTGGATCAATTTCAGCTTCATACCATGGTTTAGTTGAATCTTTTAAGATTAATTGAATACTGATTTGTGTCATTTGACCAACTTTTTCTTCATCAGTCATTTGAGCTAATAAAGCATTTACTTGCTTATCATAGCTGGGTAATGGTGGTAATGCAGTTAATATAATTGAAATATTAATAATGAAAACTAATGTGAATACACATATATTCATTCTTGTTATAGTTTAAATAAATATGCAAACTATAAAATTTTACCTTTTTACATAAGATATATTTTTTGTATACTCATCGAAAGATAAAAGTATAATCGACATCGTATTTTTTATCATATAACTGTTTTAACATATTTTCTCACCTTCAAGACTGAAATTGTTTTCTTTCTTAGCTCGATTTTGAATATTATAGACAAAAACGAAGAGAACATCTTGAGCAACAGAATAAGAATAATATTTTCTTAATTGTTATTGTAATATTAATTTTAAGATTACATACTTTATACATATAGTTATAATTGATTTGTTGAAAGATGTCGCTTATAATTATATAGCAAAATAAATAATTCGTAAGATTTTTTTTATATGAAAATGATACTATGGAAACATCATTTTCAAAGTGGAGGTGAGGATCTGTAACTATCTATATCTTCTATCTACTTTAGATTATCGAGGTATAATATTTAATATAACTAACTTAGAAAATTTTATCTTTTTATCACCAGAAATTGTTTTTAATTATAACGAAAGATATGGTGGTGATATTCATCCATTAAGAACATTTGATGTTCAAAGAGAAAAGTTTGATAGATTACTAGTGTCAACATGTTTACATAAAGAACAACTTAGACTTAAATAAAGAAACTTCAAGAACATCGCTATAAGCATTAATTAGAAGTGACTAAATTTAAATAAAACTCTAGACAAAGATATCTTAATTAGTAATATTAGAAAAGTTATTTGTAATAATAATAAAACAGTTCATTTTTAAATAAACATCTCTTTTCAATTCAAATTATGTGTAATTAATGAACAAATAGATAATTTAAAATCTTTTTGTAAAAATGAAATTACTCAAATTGTCAAATCATCTTATGAAGAAAATAAAGATTTGTCAAGAAAAGATTATCCTATTACAGCTACTAATACTAACAATAGGAAAGCTCTATGCCATTAATTATAATTTTTTTCCATTGGCATCATGGTAGAAAAAGAACTAGACCTTCACTTGAAGGAAGTTCAAGTAGAAGAAAGGTGGCTGACTGTAGAAGTGTAACCACCCTCATAAACGCGGAAAGTTGAATCATTTAAAATTTTGTTTTATTTAATCTTCACAATCAATTAATTAAACTCAGATAAATAAGCTTTTTACCGATTAAAAACGATGCTCAGGTGTTAAGAAATAGTGGCTGACTTGAATCATGACTCATCTGTACAGAAAAAGCAGAAGAAGCAATAAGTCAGCTGGTGCATTTCGTGCAGTCAGCCATCTTAATTCTTTTAGAAAATGAAAAATTTTGCTAGCAAAATGCCTAGAGACAAGAAAATCCATGATTTTCATAAAAAAAACAATAATAATAACGGAAGAACCTGAGAAGGAAAATAATTATTTCTCAAGAACGTTATGTTATATGACAATCATAGAAAGAAGAAAACAGCAATTTTTTTTATTATAATTTTCATTTAGTTTAGTTTATTATAAACAAAGATTACATTCATATTAAATTTAAATAATCATGGCATCTGAAGGAAATTCTAGTGATATAGATCTTTCATCTGATATATCTCAAGTTCCGATACCTCGATTTATTCGCTTAACTATCTTACTTGTAATGGATATACCATCATCAATTTATACAATATTTATTCTATTAAATATATTTAAAAATCGATTATTAAGAGAATCATTACATAACCATGTTATCATCGCTATTCTCTTAAGTATACTTCCAACTCAATTAATAGACATACCATTTCATATAATTTATCTTAGTCTCGATTATGTTTGGCCATCAAATCCTATTTTTTGTCTTTTTTGGTTATTTATATCTGTTGGAATATTTGATACAACAGGTATATTAATGGCATATGCAACTATAGAAAGACATATATTGATCTTTCATGATCGATGGTTGATTAATAAAAAACGACGAATATTTATTCATTATATTCCTCTATATTCTGTTATTATTTATAGTTTAATATTCTATATATATGTAATATTGTTTCCACCATGTCTAACTAATTTCGATTATACACAAGCATGGTGTTCTTATCCATGTTATTATGATAACAATATTCTATCAATGTATGATTCAATTGTTAATGTAGTATTACCAGCATTTATTATTGTATTTTTCAGTATTGCACTTTTATTACGCTTTATTATTCAAAGACGTCAGTTGAATTTAAAAAATGAATGGAAAAAATATCGTCGAATGATTATTCAAATAACAACTATGTCATCATTACTTATTATATTTAATTTACCTTTAACTATTCTTATGTTAGCACATTTATGTGGTCTACCATCAGATGTTGGAATTGATTTTTCACAATATGCTTATTTTTTTACTTATTTTATACCATTATTGATGCCATTCATTTGTCTTCATTCATTACCAGAAATTTATCGTAAACTTATAAAAATATTTCTTAATTACTGGCGAAAAATACGACAACAACTAACAGCAACTGTTACACCTATGATGTAATCAAGTTAATGAATAATTTAATATCAAATATGAAATTGTCAGTTATATTTGAAACGTTGGTCCTGTCAAAATAAATCTTAATGTCATAAGAAGATTTTCTATTGACAATATAAATCTCGATCTAGGTTCGTGGGTATAAGTGACTTATCACTTCTTCATATTAGATGTACTCATCAGTTTGTACTTACATCGTCATCTTTAAGATGTCAAGTCAACCGGAAGAAATATCTTCTTCACTAACAAGCAGCAATTAAAAACACAGACAAAGACATCATCTTTTTTTCAAATAAATCAAATAAAGTTATTTCAAAAAATTATTAAAATTTTATCAATTACTATGTCGACTACATTCGAATCTTACCTGTTTCTATGATAATATACATTTATAAGAATATTTTCAAATGTTCGTGTATATCAGCTTGTTTTTGTCGAAGCGTATGATTATTTCGTTGTTATCGAATCATACTTCATGACTTATTTTAGTATTATTTACCAATGTTTATGTTGCGAGTAATGCCTGTTCAATACGAATGTATTATGGTGTTATTTGAGATATATGAAAGAGAATTTTCCTGAATCCTAGATTATCTCCGAACAATAGTGTCTAGAGAGTGTGGATGATAGTGATGATGACGATGATCATGTATGCATGACATGAGGTAGATTAGTCATTCACACTCTCACCCACACTCTCAAGATTTAGTCAACATTCCAATAAGTTTTATTTCTAATTAGAATAATGGTGATACAAAAAAATAAACCCCTGATCCGTCTTCATGGATACATAAAGTTTATTCCTTAACCCATAAGTAGTCATCAATAGTGTCACAAAATTTTTAAGATGAATTCGATTGTTTGAGATTGAATGAGGCAGTTTCTTCCTTGCCTGGCTTTATGGTTGCTTCGATAATGAGTGTTGAATTTTTCAGACGATCTTGTGTGATAGTTAAACCCGAGGTGACGTTCTTCGTGGTGAGGGTTGTCGATTGATATCCACCATTCAGAGTGAGCTTGACCGTCACTATCTGTTTGTCTTTTCTGTTGGTAATAGTAACATTCACGGATAGATCTTGACCAGAAGGTGATTGCCGAGTAGCAATGACTATTGACTCAATCTTGTACTGTATATCTGGATCTGTACTAAGGGTAACAGTGGTATTGGCATTCTTTGCTGTGTCAGTAATTGATGCTTGCCCTAAGACCATCTGATTTTGATAGAATGTAACCTGTCCAGCAGGTAAAAATTCACTTGGCTTAATGTGAAACATGCGTTGGAAGAGTCCATTGCTCGATCCACCCGACGGAACATAGGACGTAGCTTCAAGTGTGTAAGCAAAGGCAATAGTGGGAGTAATGAATGGGAAGGTCTTAACTGATTGTGGGTAGAGCGTGTAAGCCTCATTGATCTGGTAAGTGTATGTACCATAATTGGAAGCTGTAGGCGTAGTCGCAACTGGTGCCATTGCTAACATGCTAACACTTGCGTGGGCAACCGGAGCAATACTGGAGCCACCGGCGAGATTAACAGTTCCAGATGTAAGACTTGAATTACTAACATGATAGGCCCGTTGATGATTGTTGGCAATATCGGCTAAGGCACGTAATGTGGCCGCTGAAAAGAAGAAAAATCGAATGAATACAATCACTAGATCTTATTTATAACTTACAATTGTCTGTTATCACGTTTACAATATATCTTGGAGTCCACGAGAGTCCATATGTAAGGTAGGTGAAGTTACATTTTTTCGCCGTTGTATTTTGAAATCGAGTCGACAAGATCTTACCGTTGAGATATGGTTCATTATCGAACTGAATATTCTTTTGTTCAGTATAGAAGAATTTTGAGCCGTCTTTTACTAAAAGTGAATATGGATCAACTAAATGTGCTTTTGAAAAACTACACTCCGATGAGGCTCGAACATGCACGGGTGCATTACGATGATACTCATTGGAACTGTAGAGATTTTGCTCGACTATTGGCGTGCCAGGATAATCAATACTACCCCTAAAATAAAAAATTCATCACAACTTTATGCATTATTAAAAGTATCATCTTACTGGATAATGTTACTGTAATCATTAGCATCGAAATAGGCTTCAAAGACGTTATTCTTCAAATTTCCTTCATCAATTATTTGTCCCAAACTCGAATAGTAATTGATTTTTAACCCTTCGATGGAGGAATAGAATACAAACAGTACGAGAAAGAAAGTTGTTTTCATGATGAATGAATAGTGATGATGGTATGAGCTGCATCCTGCTTTTATATATGCTTGTTTATATTTAGTAAATGTCCCCATTGTTTGACAGCTGCACTTAATGTATGCATAACAGATAGCAATCAATCAAAGAAACGAAGACAATGATGATATCATTAGAAAGAGATATGTTGCGATGTCACAGCTGTTATTAATATTTATTTTGCAAATTGATGTTTAATTTTAGTTTAAAATCATTGTTTTAATGAAATAAAAAGCAGCTGCTACCAATTTAAAAATAAAGAATAGCGGAATAGATACTCTCTTCAACAGAAAGAAATTGCGCAGATCACCAAGTTCGACCAGTTCGTAGAATACATATTCGGGCCATTGACTAGTTCTCACCAAATTAACAAAATTAAAATATCAGCGGTCCTTGTCTTATATAGAGAAAATATTCGAGTGCTACGATGCTCATGGTTGCGATGTATTGATGTATCACTCAGTGATCTATTGATTGGTTCTTTGCAATTAATTTTAAGAGATCACAAAGAAATATAGTATAAAGTAATTTTTTTCTTTATATTCGTATTCTCAAGATTATTATTCTTTTGCATTTTGTTTCACTTCAATCAAGATAGCTACCGATATATCTTGGAATACTTTCTATGACTAAATATTTTTAGTGTTACAATCAAAAAACAAGAAGTTCAATCCAATACAACTTTATTCGAAGAGAAAAGTGTCTCTTAATAAATATCCACAAAGATTCGTTTATCAGTGGTTCCATGTGAACTAAGATGATCATCAGGTAGTATATAAGCATTGCCTATTGAAAATTTGCCACGATAATAATTGACAAGATCATAATGAGTTCCACCTGTATATGGTTGGGTGGGATGACGAATATTATTTCCTTTTGTATCTTTTGTTTTAAATTGCGTAGGTGCATCAGGATAAAGATCATTAATAAACTCTGTTCGTAATGATCCATCACTCGATGAAAAAACCATTGCACCATTGAAACCTCGAATTAGACTACTATCACAAAAAGTCATTCCTTGAAATGCAGCATCGAATTTAATTTCTGCCCATGTAGCTGGATACAATATCCACTGTTCTTTCAGCTTGAAATGATGGTTGATAATCACCAAGATTTTTAAAGAAGCCAATATGCATCATTGTATTACCTCGATTTCGTACAGTAATCTAATTTGCACTAGAAGTCAAAAGAATTAATGACAATCAGTTAGACGAAATTATAATAGGTGATTAACTTACGTAGCATAATTATTTTCATTGATGAATACACGCATTGTTTTTTTCTGATATTCTAGATTAAAGTGCACTGGGTTGACAACTGATTTGTATAGATTTTTTTCTTATTCTTATCAATACAGCTGAAATCTCACTCACAACAAAACTGACAAACCATAGTAATGAAATCAAGTAATTTATCTTAACGTGTTATTCAAGCCGTTATATCCATTTCAGGAGTTTATATGAAGTCTTTGAGTTACCTCATGAATAGGCAAGGTTTTCTTGAAAACAATGCACATAGAATCTAAGTACTTCTCTTAAAGTCGACAACAGATGTTTTAAGTTGCATCTCGTAATGAAAACAACAGATCAGTTTTCAAGAGCATCTTTATTGGTGTTTTAACAACTATTCCATTATGATATGCCTTTGAGAAATGACAAATGAAGCAAGTTCTGATTTCATCGTTACTGAAGATTTAGTCACATTTATTTATAAAGGCTCAAAATAAAATACGCATTGTTAGATTATTTCAAGAAAATACGGACATGAGTTTTTGATTTGAATAGCAGGTTAAGATAAAATACTTAATTTAATTACTATGATTTGTCTCTCTTTCTCACTTCTATATAGACAATAAACTGTTCGCAATAGTCCTAATTAATCGATTATATAAATAGTTTCTTTGCATAAGATCGAAATGTGTATCTATTTTTCATTAATAATGAAACAAGAAAAAATTGATAATATTCATAAATCAAGCAAAAATGGAGACTTATTAGAAGTTTTTTATTTCAATAAATATGTTAATCACTAATTCCAATATATCCTCGAACTTTGTCTGAAGCAGCATCAGTCATTTTTGATACTATTTGTTGTGTTATTTTTTTCTTGAGTTCTGCTTGAGCAGCATCGAATTTTTTTCCAATAAAACCAGCAACTGTTTCAGGAATAAAGTGAAGAACAAGTTCTAATGTTCCGCCATCGGCACCTTTTCCAGTAGCTAATGGAATATTTGCTGTATGAAGCCATTCTTTATTTGTATTTGTATCAAATTGACCACCTTGTTCATCATCAATTAAATTCAATGTACCATGACCTAAAAGATCATCTTTATCTGGATCCGAATCCCATAATTGAACATATAAAGTTTGTAGATCTTCTGATACAGGAAATACAAGTTTCTCATTGAAAATTGGATTTGAACCATCATGAATTTGTGTCTTTTGGTATGTTTCTGTTTGTTGTTTTTTATTTTCTGCCATTACTTTTGCTTCAGTTGAAAGAGGTTCAAGTGAAAGAACTGCATAACAATCATTTTCACCAAACCAATCACTTTTAATTAATTTTTTTGCTTTAAGTACCGTTATTAAGAGAATACCTTTAAGACGTTGAGGAGATGAAGAAGTCATATTGAAATCGTCGTCGTCGATTATCAAATTACTAAAAATAAATAAAATATGTGATAAAAAAAACAGAGAAAAATTGAGTTTTTATGTTAAAACTCGAGAAGAATATCTTTTATAATTATTATAATCGAAATAATACTCTTATAATCGCTTTTAAATCGCAAGTAAATCATAAAAATAAGGTTTGTTATATTATATAAGCTATCAAACGCATCTCGAGTTGCTCCTCTTGATGAATAATAAAAAGCAAAACTACCCACATTCACACGTGTTTTGCTCTATTCTACGTGTAATATTTTATCATATTGTCATAATGTCAATATGTACAAACTTGTTTTGATGATGAGTAAAGTTTATTAACATTTTCATCAATGTATTTCAACGATCAAATATGTATAGTAACTTATATTCAAATATAATGTAGATATGATTCATTTTTCTTATTCACAGTACGTGAATCTTATCTACTGCAGATGAATATTAAAACATTATTCACTCTCACTCAGCTGAATATATTCAGTAATATTCGTTAATTTTACTACTAAATTATTAACACTGAAGACATTCGTCTTTAGTTTTGATTTCATCAATTTGAAATACGTTTTATAGATGTGCTCATTTGTGAAACGCTCAAGCATTTCGAAAGTACATTCATGATATGTCATCATTCAGAAAACATAGTCTTTCATAGCAATAACCTTTGTTATTATAATCAAATACTGATGTATTTATTTATTCATAATTTTTTTTATAAATAAAATTAAAAATAACAATTTAACTATGGTGCTATGTAATTAAATATGTATATATCACTACTTTCAGCAAATATAATCTACACATGGAAATCTTTCTTTAAAAAAACTAAAATGAACAGTAAATATATAACCAAGTGAAGCACCGAGGAATGTTCCAGATTGTACCATAACACAACCCCAGAAAAGTCCTGCTTTACCGGCTACATCACGAAAATGAATATTTAATATAATATAAGTAAAATGATTTATACCATTTGCAGTTAGATAGATTAAAGCAGTAATTAAACCTCCTATTAAAATATGATCTGCAAAAGGAGGACATGGAGACATTTTTGCAATAATAAGTATACAGGCGACGAGAATTGTAGCTATTATATTAAGTATATGAATTAAACGAGGATAAGCTGCAACTGTTATATTAGAATATACTGCACACATAATTTGAACTAATACATAGACTACTTCACTGGAAACAATTGTTTTTTGATAAATATCTTGTGAATAAGATGAGAGTGCATATGCTAAAAAAAAGATAATTAAAATGTAAAACAAAACTTCATTTTTTGCAATTATACTTTGTAAAGCTGGAAGAAAACCTAGATGAAATAAATTTGAATATATTCTATTATATTATAAATAAAAATTTACCAAAAGTGATCAAACAAGACCAAAACATAGCAAAAAGATAAGGAGCATTATCTGATAAATGAAATTGTCGAGTACGCTTTTGATTTTCTTGATTATTTGTATCAATTAATGCTAAAGTTTCATTATTTTCATTTATTTTATCCTGACCAATTTTACTTATCGATAGAATAAGAAAAGAAATCAATGAAAATAATATTATACATGATAAAATAGAAAAATATGTTTCAATAGAATAATTCAATACAGATACTTCTTCAATTAATTTTGTTTGATTACCATCATTAATTAGAATACATTCTGATACTGCTGAATCTTGAGTATAACCAAGTATTGCTAATGATCCACTTGATATAGCATCACCTAAGAAATATGCACGAATCATAATAGATTTATATCGATGAATATATGGAAGAAATAATAATGTTCCAGTATAATCACAACTACAAATAATAAATGTAAAAAATAAAAAATAAGTTGAATGATATTCATTATATATTAATGTTGTTTTGTTCCATGTAAAAACGAGTAAAACAAATGCAGATATACCAATGACTAGAGTAGTGATTATTCCTATATCTTCATATAAGTTCGATTTTGCTAAATGACGTAATAAGAATATAATTGATGCCGATATAATTGCTGTTTGACTTATTAAATTAAATGTAGCTGGTAATGACCATCCTTCTGGTAATCGATCAACTATAACAGGTAATTCAATAAAAATACCATAGAAAAGTATATTTTGACATAATGAAAAAATGGTTATTAAAATAAATACGATTATTGTTGTATTTTCCTGTAAAAAAAATATTGAAACAATTTTTGTATTTATATATAAGTATACTTACTATTTTATATGAGCCCATTGTTTTGTCATATATAAATAAGATCAAAAATAGTCAAGTATTAATAATAATTAAAAAAATATATCTACAAATTTAACTAGATGAGAAATAAATCGAAATATAGTGATAAGAATTGCAATGCATATATCACTTACAAGTTATTAAAAAGAAAGTTTTTTATAATTATTCGAAGCCATATTCAGTTCAATAAGAATCTTACTTCGATATATACAGACACGTCATAAATGACATTGTACTTCAGTTATGGCTAAAATATCTCTATGGGAAGAATATGACTTTATAAACAAGATGAACGGATTTATTAGGATAACGAGATGTTTGCTTGTCTATTTAAAAAGATCGTAAACAAAAAATATTCTACTATTTTTGACTAGACGAAGGTAGTGTCATAAGATTGAGTAAATAGTTACAACGATTCTTCATTTATAGAAAAAGGTTCGAAGAAAGCCGATTTTTGAACCCAGGCTCAGAAAAATCGAACAAAGAAACTGGTTTTATTGATTATTGCGATTAATCAATATCATTCTGACACAAAAAAGATTGTCAAGGTAGAAGAAAACTAGAATATCACCTTTACTATCGATAAAACAAGGTTGTTGAAAAATGTGTTTCATTTTTATGTTCTAATAAACTATTTTAGAACAATATTTCCTATGATACATATATAAATTTACTGAATATTGTATTTAAAGCGATACGAAGATTTCTATGTTACATTTTAGTAGAGATATGTATTCCGAAGTCGTTTGACTGTTAAATAATAAGATAATTCGAAAAACATATTGTTAGTTTATAATCATTAAAAAATATTTTATTTTGATCGATATATGAAATTATACAAAAAAAAAAGATAATCGGAGTTTTATTTAATAATCATTTTCATACCTATATAATAAAATTAATGAGAGATTCCAAGTCAATATAATTTATCACAAGATAAATATCTTTACAGATATATATAAGTAATATACAATATTTGAAAACAAGTATTATTTTTTATGTTTGTTTTATAAAGACGCAGATCATCATACGACCGTCGGTTACAACTATACAGAACTAGTGAACAATACGTTTTATACAAAAATATTGTGCACTTTTGCAAGCACGTTCAAAAGATAGGGTTCGCTGATTTTTCTCGTTCTATGTGTACTATATCTGATCAATATATTGTCTTTTCTTCTATAGAGAAGGATTAATCATTGATCCATTTTATAGGCCACTTACGAATGTCAATATCACCAATTTTTTTTATAAAATTTACCTTTACGACCGATTGGATACGATTGTTGTCATTGTTTTGATACATGAACGAAACTTATTATATGTGAAAAGGTAATGATCACATGCTGTAAATTTATCGATTAAACTTAATTTTACTATTGGAAAATATTGAGCGATTAAATTATGATATATACAAAAGAGAATTCATGTGACAAAATCTATTTTTTATAACCTGATAAGAAAGATACTCGGAAAAAAAAAAGAAAATGAAATAAAATATTTATGTATAAAAATTAATGATTATGAGGGTGTTTATGTGATTATTCTATTAACACTCACACCCTTAACTAGAAATCAATCATAATTTATTCGTTAAATGGTCTACCGTTTATTTGACTGTCTGTAAACCTAAATTATACTATTTGATTATGATGTTGCATCTTGAAATGAATTTTAATAAAAGATAATTTATTTTTGAAAGGAATTGACATATATTTAATGTATAGAATTAAATAAATTCATAAATATTTTAAATAGAAATATATTTTATCTTTTACTTTTTCTTATCAAATCAACATTAAAATAATAGTAAAAAACGGGCTAAAATCGAGTATACTATTTTACAAATTCATTCGGATCAATTTTTGTTATAAAATGATTTTCAATTTGTAATTATAGAAAATTATTATACGAAGTGTTTTTTCGTCATCAATAAATATAAAGAAAAGGAAAGTAATTTTATTAATGACTTGTATAATATTACACTTTGAAAAAAAAAACTCTTTAACATTCTTTTGAGAAAACTTATACTGTAAATGAACAACAATTTCTGAGATCCAACGAAATTATATTTGGTTTTAAGATCATAAAATCGATTGTCTCTCATTTATTCATAAGCTTTACATTTGAAAAGAATATTTTAATCATATATAATTACATCTCATCATTGATTTATTTTTTCCTAATAGAAGAAGAAAAACAAAATAGATTTTCGAAGCTGATTCTTACATCGATATTCAACTATGACAATCCCTATAATTCTATTCGATATTCATCAATTCGTATATATACATATCGAAATTTTTTATAACAGTCAATTTCAAACTCAAAAAATAAAATCTCTTTATATCTTTTGTTCAAAGTTAAAATACTTTAGAGAGAATTTTAGTTTATGATATGATATTTGATAAAAATTCAATGATGAAATCTGTATTTGAGGGTTTATTTATATAAGATAAAAAATATTACAAATATTTTAAGAAGAAAACATTATTTAGAATTGATCATTTCAGAATATTTTACCATAATGAATGAATCTATTCTCTCTACATAGATTTTCACAACGAAATATAATCATTTATCTTCCAATAATCTATTCAATAAAAAATATTTTTTTAATTCAAAATAATAAAAGAGAATAAAAAAAGATTTTGATTTTTCTAATTTATTAAGAACTTTAATATATGAAAAATCTAAAGTGGTGAAATTCTAACAATGTGTTTTTATTAATTACTTGATTTTTTCTTAAAAGAATTAACAAAATTTGAAAATAATTCAGTTTTCTTCTAATTAAATATTATTTCATATCTTATCGTTCTATTTTTTATATACAAATAAATTTAATTTTATATTTATATTAATAATATCCTTATTGATTTAATTAAAGAATAAATCAATAATGTTCTCAATTGTTTTATCTTCTCTATCACTATTTTTCTTTGTATTATAGTTTTTTAATATATTTTCATAGAAAATGAGAATTGTTCTATTAGAAGCATAAGTATTACTCAACAGTACTTCGAGTTTTGCTATTGTTACAGAGAACGTTTTATCGTTTGACGTCAACCGGCAGGATCTTCCAGACTTTTTCAACCACCACATAAAACTTTGTCTACCTCAGCGTCACTGAAATAAACCATTTCTAGTTTTACCATTGGTATAGAGAACTTCAGACAGGCTTTGCACGTACTCCACAGTCACAAAATACTATTACCAAAGCTCCTTTATATTTGTAAAGCAATGTATCCCTCAACACAGCAAAAGTCTTTAGCAAAAATTTTCCTCACAATATACATAAAGTTTGAAACCAACACTTTTATTTACTGTTTTTGTGAAAAAGATAAAAACAAGACAAATATTCACATTATCGTCAATAGCTATGTGTTCATCATAGGAATACATTTAATCAGCTAGCCTGACGTCCTCTTCTATTTCGTTCAACAAATTCATTAATTTCATGTGTATCGACGTCTGTAATTTTGTTTCCAAATAGCTTTAGTGTGGTGAGTGTCTAAATGAGAAATTGTAGGCAAAGACATGGTATAGATGAAGAAGGAATAAGAATTACTGTGTTATGTTGTAATGCATCAGCCAAATCTCGTGCTCCCGAATCTCCGATTTGATTCTTCCAGAGATCTAGTGTGGCGAGTGTCTAGATGAAAAAGTGGAGGTAAATGCATGCTATAGATGAAGAGAAAATAAGAATTACCGTGTTTTGTCGTAATGCATTCGCCAAATCTCGTGCTCCATCATTTTCGATGTAATTCCGTCCTAGTTCTAGTGTAGTGAGTGTCTAGATGAAAAAGTGGAGGTAAGCGCATGCTATAGATGAAGAGAAAATAAGAATTACCGTGTTTTGTAGTAATGCATCCGCCAGATGTCGTGCTCCCAAATTTGTGATTCCAACAAAGCCCAGTTCTAGTGTGGTTAGTGTCTATAGGAGAAAGTATAGGTAACGACATGGTATAGATGACGAGAGAACGATAATTACTGTGTTTCGCCGTAATGCATCCGCCAAATGTTGAACTCCCAAATCTTCGATCAAATTTCCTTCGAGATTTAGCATGGTGAGTGTCTAGATGAAAAAATAGAACTGAACAGATGGTATAGATGAAGAGAGAATTATAATTACTTTGTTGTGTTGTAATGCATTAGCCAAATGTTGTGCTCCGGGCTCTCGGATATTATTCATTTCCAGATTTAGCATGGTGAGTGTCTAAATGAAAATGTACAGATGAAGACACTATATAGATCAAGAGAGAATGAGAATTACTATGTTATGTTGTAATGCATTAGCCAAATGTTCTGCTCCCAAATTTGTGATTTTAGTCTTCCCGAGATCTAGTGTAGTGAGTATCTGGTTGAAAAAATGCAGGTGAATACGTGTTATAGGTAAAGAGAAAAAGACAATTACCCTGTTGCTTCGCAATACAGTAGCGAAGTGTTGTGCTCCCACATCTCCAATACGATTTTCCGCAAGATCTAATGTGGCAAGTGTCTAGATGAAAAAGTGGAGGTAAACACATGCTATAGATGGAGAGAGAATGGCGATTACTGTGTTGTGTTGTAATGCGTTACCCAAATGTTGTGCTCCAACGTTTTCAATTTTATTAGATCGCAGATTCAGTGTAGTTAGTGCCTTAGTGAAAAAATGTAGATGAAGGCATGCTATAAATGAAAAGAGAATGAAAACTACTGTGTTTTGTTGTAATGCATTGCCAAAATGTTGTGCTCCGATATTTCCAATGCGATTAAATCCTACACTAAGTGTCGTGAGTGTCTAGAAGAAAAAGTGGAGATAAACGTATGATACATATGAAAATAAAATGAGAATTACTGTGTTGTGTCCTAATGCACCAGCTAAATATTGTGCTCCGGTCTCTCCGATTTCATTACCTTTGAAATTTAATACGATAAGTGTCTAGATCAAACAGTATAGGTAGGGACATGTTAAAGAAGAAGAGAGAATGGCAATTACTGTGTTGTGTTCCAGTGCATTAGCCAAATATTGTGCTCCCACCTGGCCGATGCGATTAAATTTGAGATTTAGTGTGGTGAGTATCTAGATAAAAGAGTGCAGCTAAAGGCATGATAGAGATAAACAGAGAATAAAAATTACTGTGTTGTGTTGTAATGAATCACCCAAATATTGTACTCCAAGATCTCCGATTTCATTCCTCCGGAAATTTAGTGTAGTGAGTGTCTGAATAACAAGTGTAGGTAAAGACACGATATATAGATGAAGAGATAATGATAATTACTTTATTGTGTCGTAATCCACCAGCTAAATGTTGTGCTTCAGCAGGCCCAATGGGAGTAGATTCGATATTTAGGGTCGTGAGAGTCTAAATGGAAAAGTGAACGTGACGCGATGGTCTAAATAAAGAAAGAATGATAATTACTGTATTGTGTCGTAATATATCACTCAAATGTTGCACTCTAGCATTTGAGATGTAAGTAGATCGAAAATCCAGTGTGGTATGTGTCTATATGAAAAAGTCGAAATAAATATATGGTAAAAATGAAGAAATAGAATCGTTGGTCGTTATCATCTGAGGTTAAACCAAGGAAGATGACTTGTGGTATAACTCAGTTGTAAGATTTATGGAAATAAGTGCGAATATTTCTGTAATTCCAGTTGCTATTATGCTTAAGAATATCATATGACAAGATAAGTTAAAAAGAAATTACAAAGGGTGACGCATGCATATCATTTTTGTGTATATCAGTTACCATAATTTTTGTATGTTTGCGAAAGAAAGAAAGATTACAAATTAATGAGTAATCGTGTGTAAATTACCTCTCCACAAATAACTGTGAAGGGTTGAATTATGCACTTAAAGGGCAATATATTGTAGTAGGTAGTTTAAAGTTTAGTAAAATTTGGTGCATCGCTTGTTAATATGCTGTAGGTATGAGAAAAGATAGTTTGTTGTTTGTAGTGGTTCGACGATTTTCTTTCATGCTCATTCGTGAAACTCAGTATGCGTTTTGCAACACAACTGTATGTAAGTTATTTGAACTCTCTTCATTCATGCATATGATTCGGCAGCTGCTTTCGACCTCATCGTATGATTGCATGCATGAAACAACATTGATTTATAACAAGTGAAAACTTAATCAATTGATTGCATCATATTACATCCATTACGAGTATAAGATAAAAATCTGGTCCTTGAGAAGAATTGCTTTGGATGAAACTCGTTTCGGAGCAATTGCTGTGGAAATAATACATGCTACAGAAATAATATCCCTTGAAGAAATGTTTGATCTTTATAGTTTGAATGTGAATAATGTGATTGGATAGGAGTATGGGTGGTCTTGTAGATCGATCGTCACCTATACTCATAGTCACCCATACTCTCAAAGGAATTTCTAGAACATTGTTTATAACAAGATAAACTAGTTTATTGACTATGAAGTTATTCCAAACTCTGAATTTTATTGTCGAAATTATATTGCAAAAAA